AGAGTTTAAAGAGAAGCTAGATAATTTCATGGAGGTTAGGTCCATAAAAGGCTATTAGCCAGGGGATAAAATGGTGTCCTTGGCCTCTGTTTGTCAGAGGCTGGAGAGAGATGGCAGGAGACAAATCGCTTGATCCTTGTCTTCGGTCCACCCTCTCTGGGGCACCTGGTGCTGGCTGCTGTCAGCAGACGGGATACTGGGCTGGATGGACCTTTGGTCTGACCCAGTACGGCCGTTCTTATGTTATGGCATGCAAAAGAAGAAATAAAGTTTTGAGATTAGAGCTTTGATTCACATTAGTTCTTTGGTTATGTCTACACTAGTAAGTTTTGTAGATTAAACTAATTTAGACAGGCCAAAATCAACAATGGCAAAGTTGCCAATGCATGTTCACACTTGTCCCCGTCAACAGATCATATTCACAACCAGGACAACATCAGGAGCAATCCACAGTGGGTATGTTTGCCACAGTGCCTGGTGACACCATCTGTCACTAGGTGTTGTGAAACCAGAGAACGCAGGGCATCTTGTGGCCAGGCAAAATACCCCATTATGCACTGTATGGCTCAAGGGCTTCCAGTGTGCTTTTTTTTGCTATGACATTTTGGCATCTGCAGCAAGAAAGAATGGATTCGGCACTTCTCTCGCATGCTCTGTTAACTATTGTGAAGACATTGTACATGGCAGTGGAGATCATATTGAAATTACTTACATAGGAAGAAGACTCAGAGGAGCCTTGTAATGTGTGTCATATGGACACCTGTTTGGTGTACCTCATCCATTGCAAAAAATGCCTCAACAATCACGTGGATGAAACCAGACAATCACTATCTCCTTCAATAAACTCACACAGACTAGCCAGGCAGCAGGAAATGGGATTTAAATGTAATGGGGCTTGCAAGGGGGAGGGATGGGTTGCTGGTCACCAGGCTACAGGACAGCAGAATTCAAACTGCTGACCTGAGCAGCTGATCTGAAACTGTGGGCCACATTCTGGAGACTAAAATAAGTGACAAAATGCCTTACGGTGTCCACAGTACATGTTCATCAACAATAAAGGGAAGAAAAAGAAAAAAGTCCTTTGTGGAGTTGGACATTTTTTATTGACAAAAATGGCCATTTTCCCCCAAAAAAGTTGCATTGCAGTGCGAGCGCTCATGCAGTTTTGTTGCCAAAAGGCACTTTTCCGCAACAAGCCTACCAGTGTAGACAAAGCCTTTGAGACTGCAAAGCTCATCAGCAGAAACCTGAGATTGTTTTGAAAGTAACTAGTACTAATTACTAGTTATTTCACAGACTTATTCAGTCAATACATTCAATTCTAAGGATGTCAATATGTAGATGACTACACAATCAATAAGCCCAGGTTTATTGGTTAACCCTGTCAACTACACGCATTCCCCCCTTGCTGCCTCTGTATTAGAGGTGGCAAGGAAGGAGGGGAGGTGGGAGCCGATGCTTGAGGGAGGCCATCTTAAAAGCCAGCTCCCCACAGCACCAACTCTGCAGAGCAGCCTATGTCCGCAGCAAGCATGGGCCCACTACAAACAGAGGCTGCTCCTCGGCAGTAGTCCCTGTCCACAAAAGGGGCCAAACCCCTCCCCAC